ACGACTGTCAGCCAGAGTGATGTTGCACCTGTTGATAGGCATTATTTATGCGAGTGGTAGGATGTGGTAAACAGTTTGGTAAGAAAAAGCTACTGTTAAGTCATTTCAATGAACATATTGGTAATGAATCAGACATGTTTTTTCTAACTCTACTAAAAGATCAAGCACAGCTTTAAATGTTCCAGCGAGACAAATGCGAAGGCATCCATTGGTAATTAAATGGTGTTTACGAGTTTATGCTAAATCTCACCATACTTATGACGATTTAAGGGATTCTGGATTTCTAAAACTCCCATCTGGTAGAACCTTGTCTGAATACAAGAATTACTGCTCTTCCAAGTCAGGATGGCAAACATCAGTTCTCCAAGCAATGAGTGACAACTTCAATGAACAAGGATTTTCCCAAGTTGAGAAAGGTGGTGGACTATTCTTTGACGAGGTAAAGATTAATGAAGGCCTAGTTTCGATCCATCAACATGGGAATTAGTTGGTATTGTGGATATAGACAATGGAAAACTACATACCGGCATTCTGACATTCAGGAAAACCTTGCAACTCATGTTTTACAGTTCTACTTTAAAAGTATATTTTCCAAATTCAATTTTCCATGTGCATACTTCTTAACTCGAGGAATTTCTGCACAAAAGCTAAAACATCTATTTTGGCAATGAGTTGGATTATTGCAAGGTTATGGATTCACAACGATTCTTTCATGCTGTGATGGAGCTGCTGAGAATAGGGCTTTCATGATGATGAATGGTGTTAATGAGGAAGAGAGCCAGACAAACAATCCAATTCTTTATGTCTGATCCACCCCACTTGATCAAAAAGCTTTGAAATAATATTTACAGCAGTAGATATAAGGAAATATCTCCAAGATATACAAGATGTTTATTGTTGAACTCCAAAACTATTTTATGGGACCACATATACACAGTGTACCAAAGAGTGAAAGATCAGCATATATGTGCAACAGATATAGGAAGTTCACATGTTAACCTGGATAGTATTAGTAAAATGAGAGTCAAGCTTGCTGTACAAGTGCTTAATTCCAAGGTTCAAAAGGAAATGGAAAGTTGTGATCCAGCTGCAACAGAGTCAACTAGAGTGTTCATTTATAACTGTGACAAATTATGGAAAATCTTCAATGATACAAACCCCCTTTCTGCAGCCGCTGATCCTAGAATAAAGGAACTGGATAATGTGATAGCATTTTTTCAACAGTTGGAAGAATGAACTTGCTACCATGTTTAGAACTAAATCAGAAATTGCATCACACTTTATCACTTGGCAAGCTATGTTTGATATGAAGGTATAACCCTATAAATATGTGGTTCACCCATGCAATATATTTCAAATTGAGATTCGATATTTCAACATGATTATTACACCCAAATTGTTCATTCGAAAATATGTTTGTTTGTTAATTCTAGTGTAAAATTCATAGTTTGTTGAAATAATTATTTTTCTGTTCATGCTAATGTAAAATTATATTGTTTTCTTTTACAGGTTTCAGTCAATGGCATTAAAGGTTTGGTTTCATTTGTGGAAAGTGTGATGTATCAGTCCCTTTATCCAGGGAATCATTACATTATTCCTAAGACGCTTAGTCAGGATGTTGCTGAGTCTTTTTTTTCAGTGCAAAGGCAGTCCTGTGGGGGGGACAAATAATATGACTGCATATACATATGGGTATAACATAAACAGCACACTTGCATCATCAACCATGTTGCTATCAAAGAAACAGACAAATGTCTACGAAACTGACGATGTTGACCTTGGACAGCAGCCACAAGTTGGTCCAGTCTGCCAAAGAGGGACAATGTTCAGGACATATTTCATAAAAATCTTTCGCCAGTACATCTTTAAGCTGTTGCAATTTTGAAATAACCCTATTTATGCAAAACAAATGGCACCAATAATACATCTGTCCATTTATTGGATACTTGTTCCAATGTTCTCATGTTTGATGCACAATAGGATTAGGGGTTATGGGCGGGTTTGTGATTTGAATCAAGATGATATACTTGTGCATGAAACATGGGGGTGTAACCTTAATGTGTATTTGCCATCCGAAAACATAGAAACAGGGTCATTGGGCCAAAACCACAGAATACTATACAGAAGTCCATCTCCACTGTGTTTTGCGTAAGCGCTATTCATCATGATTCGTCACTTAACAAGTACGGTAAACCGAAGCGGTCACTCCCTGGAAATATTCAAAATGGCACACATCCAGGGGGGGGGAACTCCTTCTGTTTGCGGTACTTGCGAATCATGACGAATAGCACTTACACAAAAAAACAATGGAGATGGACTTCTGCATAGTATTCTGTGCCAAAACATCCAAAAAAATAAAACACTAGAATCTATTTGTTGTTAAAAGATCTCCATTCTTTCTGGCCTACTTTCAACATGGCATTGCCTACCAGTGCGTGCACCGATTTGTACCAGTGAGACTTATTTCCATATAGTACATTATACATGTACATTGTAACAGTGGTAGACACTTGGTGAAATGTTGGGGGTGATGAGTTTATATCGCTCTTGGAGCAAACGCATTTATAAGTTTAAAATAAAAAAATAAATGTTTGGGGTGGGGATTAGGCAACCCTCATACACGGGGTATTTCCTCTTGGAGAGAAAAGACCTTGGCTAGAGGGGAATGGACTCTGGTAGATGCTGTTCATGTGATCTGCTAAAATCTAGCAGATTTCTAAATATAATAACTATCTTGAATTCCTTTACAACAATCATAGAAAATATTCAAATATTTAATTATTAATTGTTAACCTCATCTAGGATTGCTTATAAAAATCTGCCAGATTTCAGCAGATCATGTGGCTATATCTTAGATGGGTGTTTTCTCCCCAAGAGGAAAGACCCCTGTATATAAGATTGGGTTTAGGTTGCCAACATATGACCACCTTTTGTTGCTGTGAATCTTAGAACATATATGGATCCAGCCCAAACAGGTATATGCCACTACATTACTGCTGTTCACTAATACTATAATGTAAATATTTTGGTTAATTCTCAGGGCTTAAAATAAATATTTTAAATTTTAGATATATTTGTAGGCTGTTTGGTCCACCTGCCTTTTCAGGTTTCAACCTCTGGTATGCTGAACATGAATATCATGGACATAATATGATCAGTAATATAAGGAGTATACCTCACCATCTACGAAGACTGAAGGCCCATTGAAGATTGTCAAAAAAATTATAAAATTGGCAGCAAAAGTAGACAGTGTATAAGAAGGATAATTTTTCGTCCAGCATGGCTCTTTTGCGCATACTCTGGGTCATGGCGCTTATATAATTATATATGCGGCCTGCTCTGGGCATCCATTACATTATACGATATAGCCTCTGTCTTTAATTAACAAAGTCAGAAGATTATTTGTATTTTTGTATCAAACGTTTGACCCTTCTGTTGGCTATTCCTATTCTAATATAATCAACAGTCTCCAAGGACTAAATACTGTAGTTTGTTTACAATTTGTTTTGACTAAATCCATCAGATTGTTTTTGTCGCTTTTCTAATGATGGTCTTCACTCGAAATTTCAAAGTTTAAAGGACATTAGACACTTAAATTGCCACAAAATTTAATATTTAATGCTTTGTCTTTTTGACTTGATCACCATGTCAATGCGTTTGTCCATGGAATCAATTGCCCTGTCAATAGATCCACAAAAGAGACAGAAAAACCCCCAAAAAGAGACAAAAGAGACAGCACAAGCGAAACACAAGAGTTTTGTGGGTGACATCATCTATAAATGTTCTGTTAACATGTGAACTTATTATGAGAACCATGCAATCCATGATAAGCAATATGCAACTTTTTTACAATGAATTTGAAATTGTTGACAACACCAAGTAAATTGTTTACAACCACCATTTATTAAGACAATCCTTCACAAAATATATTGAGACTTGCATATTTATCTATGAAATCAGCAAATTCCTACAATCAGGAGCTCCTCCCCCCCCCCCCCCTTCAAAACAATGTTGACTGTTGTTGCAACCATTGTGCTTCATAATTTCAACTCAATCACGACCAACATTGCTCTGTAGGGGGGAGGGGAGAGGAAATTATACTTTCACATGTGTAGTCTCATAATTTTTGTGAAGGACTGAGGCTCCTTTTCGTTCCATAGATAGCGACGCTATCCAGTATGGGCGTGGCCAAAAAAATTCGATGACGTGATTTTTTTTAGTAAGAATTTTACGCTGAATCCAATGGTTGCATTTTCGTTACTAGGCCCCTTTTCGTTCCGGAGATAGCGACGTTATCCAGTAGGGTTTCAAAAGTTTCAATGACCTCATTTGCCAATCAAAATTTTACTGCGAATCCAATGGTGGCATTTTCGTTACCAGGCTCTTTTTCGTTCCGGATATAGCTACGCTAACCTGCAGAGGCGTGGCCAAAATGTTTCGAACACGTCGTTTTTTTAATCAGAATTTTACGTTAAATCAAATGGTGTAATTATCGTCACCAGGCTCCTTGTCCTTCCGGAGATAGCGGCGCTATTGATTAGGGGCGTTGCCAAAAAGTTTCGATGACGTCATTTTGCCAATTAAAATTTGACTGCGATTCCAATGGTTGCATTTTCGTCACCAGGCTCTTTTCGTTCCGGAGATAGCAACGCTATCCTGTAAGGGCGTGGCAAAAAAAATTGGTTGACGTCATTTTCCGAGTTAGAATTTTACGCTGAATCCAATGGTGTATTTTGTCACCAGGTTCCTTTTCGTTCCAGCGATAGCGACGCTATCCTGTAGGGGCGTGGCCAAAATGTTTCGATGACGTCATTTTCCCCAATCAAAATTTTACTGCGAATCCAATGGTGGCATTTTCGTCACCAGGCTCCTTTCTTTCCGGAGATAGCGACGCTATCCTGTCAGGGCGTGGCCAAAAAATTTCGATGACGTCATTTTCTCAATCAAAATTTTACTGCGAATCCATTGGTGGCATTTTCGTCACCAGGCTCCCGTTTCAGAAGCTGTATTTAGCTATAGAAGCGAAGAAAACTCAACTTCACATAAATGTCCTCTTAAACTGTCGTGATAATAATGTTACACCCAAATTTGTCCGTTGGAAGAATCTGAAATCAAAAAGACATCACCTACGCAGTGCTTATCACCGGAAAATCCTTAAAGAAACAACACAAGACCAACACAAATCACGCCAGTCGCTCAAGATATCTCTATCTGAACAAGTAACATAGCTCCGCAACCGCACCATTTGGTTCCAAAATTTGAATGTAAAGTACCACGCTAAACGACCAATGGACATCAAGCTATCAAGTGCATGCCTACGTCATGAACGCAAGTTTAAAGCCCTGTTACGAGAAGACGCGATCTCTACCGGAATTAAGAACAATATGAAATCATTACTAACCTTACTGGCGACACATTAACACAAGAACAAGAATTCATTGTACGATTTAGGCTAAAACATAATTTGGCTACTAGACCCCACGAAACCCAAATTACCGCATCTGCCGAATCTATGCGGGACCTACCAAGACGACAAAATGCACTTCCTGATGCACGGGACGAAAAGACAGATTTACGCACGCGTAAAGTAAATGGCAAAGTTGTTGCAAAAATTAAATTTACCAAATTTGCTTAACTTTGCCCACTTGCAATTATGAAAATTACCAATACCTTTACACCCGCTGTTTAAGAGCCATTGCCGTGATCGCAATATGTAAAGATGTTGTAAAATCATGCGTAAAGGTAAATTTTGCAAAACTTTGCTCGCTTGTAAATTTATTGCAAAGACCAACTTTGCAAATGACTTTACGCTATGGAACGTTGCTAGCATATTTTAACTTTGCCCAAATTTGCACGTTTGCAAATTTAATGAAAAGTTGAACTTTGCAAAAAGTATACAAATAACTTTGCACGCTTGGAATACAAGAACTTTACATGGTGTTTTGCAGGCGGGGGAAATGGTATGCAATTACTGATTTTGATTAGATTTGCTCAGTTGCAAATTTAATACAAAAACTAGTTTGCTTATAATCTGGAATCACTTTGTCTTTGCAAAAGTGGCATAAACGAACTTTTCATTGATTTTGCACCGGGGAGGAAGGTTTGCGCTATAAAAGACTACGGAATCTCAAACAGAAATTGAATACATGTATTTTGAATACTTTTCAATACAATATATCATCAATACAATACAATATTATGTAGCGGTATAATACTAGTATACAGTTTAGGACTAAGAACCCCGTAAATTGTACATATAATATTATTAATATTACTTTATATAACATGTATAAAGACTGATTAACTAGATTCTACTTATAATCTGCATAGTGCAGTTCAGATCTTTAATAAAAGTAGCGAGATAAAACTTATAACAGATTAGCAGGAAGTATTGCATAAAAACGGCTCATATCACGCATTTGGTTCAGACTGTCTATAATATGTCTAGATTTATCGGTGACATTGTAACTTTTCAGCGTCTTAAAATTTCCTTACAGTTACAGTTACTGTAAGCCCGCCGCAAATAAATAAAAGAAATCAGCTTATATTTATATTCAGTCTCGACGAAATGTAAATCATTTGAAATCAAGGCCTTCTTTGCGTTTTAATGACTCACTACGAGTTGCATGTCTCAAAAAAGTTAATTAACAATTATTCGCCAAAGGCGAGGTGATTATCGGTGAACATAATTGTTCTCGTATAATTTGATAGGTGATTGTTTAGAAAAAATAAAAAAAATGCACATTTCTTCGTCATTTAATTGACAAAACTTTGAAAATGGCGTTATAATCACCTCAACGGCAACCAATCAGCGTGGAGAATTTTCAATTATCACCTATGTCATTATTCTAATAACAAATTATTGGATGATGCCTCAACGTTATCCTTCGAAGCTGTGGCGGATAACTTTTACTGCATGAGGTCTGACAGTAGGCGAGAGACTAATTTGATAATGTCAATGACGAAGATATAGGCATGCATGCAAGCAAGCAAATATTGAAACAAATATTTAGATAAGCACTTCGTTAATTCTGCCGAGTTTTTTATTCAGGTTTATTTTTCTCTTTGATGTATATTCATCAAATACCTTGAAACTTGAAAATAAAAAATTCCTTGGATTTGACCATGGGATCGGCCAATTCATCAATATAGCGTATCTGTTGGTGCTAAGCCTATAATTAGTACAATTACATAGGTGATTTTTGAAAATTCTCTACACTGATTGGTTGCCGTTGAGGTGATTATAACGTGATAATCAGCTAAGCGATTTTCGAAATGGCGGCCGAAGCAGTTTTGTCAATTAAATGACGAAGAAATGTGTATTTTTTAATTTTTTCCAAATAATCACCTATACGAAATCACATACTAAAACAATTATTGTTGGTTATAATCAGCTAGGCTTGGTTATTATTGTGAATAAAAACCTCGACTATTTCGTCTCGGTTTTTATTCACTGATAATCACCTCGTGCCTTCGGCGAATATAATTGTTAATTATAAGGCTAATTATAAGGCATTCAAATTCGAACAAGACTGATGATTTAAAAAAGTTTGCTTTTTGGCCGAGAAGGTAAACACGCGCCGTAGTTTATGCATCATGAAAAACAAATAACCGGGTTTTTCCACCAATAAAATGCACGTCCGATCCTTTACATATATATTAGCTTTAGAACTTAGAAAGTATAGAAACATATAATTATGGAGGATGAACTTCGTTTTGAAATACTACTATTGTCAGAATATAATAATAATAGTCAGAATATTAATAGCAGTTTGATATATTAAATAAAATAGCGGTTTATGTATAAATAGCATGCAGTTAATAATTTTTCATAAATTTTATAAAATCCTGTAAAATCCATAAAAAGCATTTTTTTTTCGTGTATCAATGAAATGTATTCTTCTGTGCATGTTATATAAAGTTCAATTAGGCTATTCTAACTGAAATCTTTTCTTCTCATCAGCTTCATTGTTACGTCACTTTAGTTGTGGGTGTAAGTTGGCAAGACACAAGAGCATTTAGAAACGTATTAGACAAGTAACGTAACAATGAACCTGATGAGAAGAAAATATTTCAATTAGCGTAGCCAAACTGCATAAACTACACAAAAAATGAATTGCACAGAAGCATACATTGATACATGAAATTGAAATCGCGAGAAGAAAGACTGATTTTACTGTCCTAGCTAGGGTACGTACGTATGTCTACAGAATTTTATGAAATTTATGAAATGAAAACATGCATTTATAGTCTGACTATTATATATAATAGCCAGAATATAAATGCAGTTGTCTAACCTCATATTTTCTCTTTTCATGTAAAATAGTAGCTATAGTATTATTCCTAACGAAGCTCGTCCTTCATAGGTTTCTATTTTCTAACGCTAATATATATATATATATACAGCCACTTTATTCACCCGTGTCATTAATTTTCTCCGAATATACTCATCTCCTGAATAATTTCAACCTCGATTATTAATGCTTCTCCCAAGACCAGGCTCAGCTAGTGTACATGCATGTACGCCAGTGAACTCTATGTAAACATAGAATAACGCATGTTTACACAGAGTTCACTGGTGTTCGTGCGTGCAAGCTGACAAGTTGCAAGGTAACGTGGATACGCATTTTGTAATAATACTCGTGCCTGAAATAGTTCAACAGGTTTAATTTTTATAGGAAATGGTAGGCGCGCGTGAATACTAAGTGACTCTCTAAACGCAACCGCACGCACTGGGGGATCTTGCAGCTTAGGCCTACAACGTGCAACTGCTCACCCGGCTACAGGCTAAGTAGTTTGCTCAATAGTTTCGGCCGTATATTGTATAATTCGTATGCATTCGGTATAATAATACTACAATACTTTAAAGTCTAAAGCCCTTGAAAACACGCACTGCCACCACCCATTCTTCGTCGTTGCGATTCGTCTTCGATTTTTTCTGACGACATTGATTGTCGGCCTTTTCGCGTTCTGCCCACGTTGAACTAATATTTTGTCCAGCGCAGATTTCCTGTACGTCTGAGTTTCTACAAGAAAAGGTATACGTACGTTATATAAAATTATATTCACATTGTAACGTGCGGTTGTAACGTGCGGTTGTATAACGTGCGGCTGTAACGTGCATTGTAACGTGCATCGTAACGTGCATTGTAACGTGCATTGTAATGTCATAATGGCCCGCTACTATATTTGATCTTTGCCTTTGGTCCACTAAAATAAATTAATCTCTAATAATAATAGAATTGGTTATGTATATAATTCAGCGTATTAATTCAAAATAAGGAATATGGTATGGACTACGGGCACAAGAATGGCCTATGCCGGCTATGGTTATACCTGCATGTGCCTGTGGCAATGAACAAATTTGTACGTGACGTCATCTACTGTACAAAACATAACTATTTTTTGAGCGCACGCTTCTTGAAAACTTTTGAGAATTAGGAGAATTGAGATTTTAGAATTAGGGGTCGGATGGGGTCTAGAGTATAGATTTAGAACCTTTAAATAAAAATAATATTGTATCAAAATTCTTGAATCTCGAATTCATTGAGTCTTGCAGTGAATTCGTCTCATTTAAATTCGACGATAATGCGACGTATGAAACATGCCTAATTCTTCTCTTTGTCGAATTGCAAAACATCAAACAAAAATTGTGAGATATTGTCCAAAGACACATGCAGGCACACGCTTCAGTTCCGTGCAAGTATATAGTGCGAATAAAAACTTTAGCCAGGGACGCTGGAACTGGGGGGGGGGGGCAGGAAGGGCAGCTGCCCCCGTTGCCCTTTACTAGGAAGGGCAATTAAGGGGAGCAAAGGTGCCCTTTCAATTTAAAGGATTGCCCTGGCGAAATAGCGAATTGTCAGAAATGTTGGTGCAATTCTTTTATGCAGTCAATGAGCTTCAAGAACAGCACAATCGCCCGGCGGAGAACCCTCTCACACCCCTATCATCCAATAAATAGAAAACATGATTAGGTGAAGTTCAATTTCCAATGTTTTGCAAACATCTCTTAGTATATACATGGATAATAAAATACATGGAAAAGGAAACTAGCTGACGTGACCTAATGTTTTAATGGGATGATGGTGTTGAAACCTAGTTGCAAACCAAATTCTCAAAAATGACATGTTTAGCAATAATACAGCTAAATATTTTAGTCAAAGAGCAAATAAATATAACTACGCCATTCTACGATGAAATCTCTAAGTATTCCCAGTCAATTTTAGCAAATAGTTCAAGCACTAAACGGTGAAAAATGCATCGCAAATTTCGTTAAAATGGCGACGCCAATTTCGTAGCTACAAATGTAAAAAAATACAAAACAAAGACGAAAAACATTTACCTTGAATACTTTGTCGTGGCTTAGGCATGTTTTTAAAACAATTAGAACAGTTTATGCTTCAATATTACTCTTTTAAAGCGGAAAATATAGCGAAACTACAAAAATGCTGAGAACCTTGGCAATACGCGTGATGTCACAGATTGCAACTAGGTTAAGACTGTGACGTCAGCAAGTTTCCTACCTGTTATTTTACAATCCATGGTATATATATATTCAAAAGTGGCCTTTCACGAAAATCTGCCCCCTTGCCGTCACATCATTCCGGCGTCCCTGACTTTAGCGATATCTTGCTCTGCAAATACATAAAATTTGGTCGGCTGAGTTTGAATTTGATTGTATATATTTGTTAATTTACATCGCATGCATTAAGTGTTCATTCGCTATGACGTCATTATGAGGAAGATCTAAAAATTCGGCGCATGAATGGAGTGACGTCTGAATTGGGAATTAAGGTTTTCGAATACTCATAGCTTGGTGTCGTATAATCTTATAAAAGGATTGCAACCAATCTTTCGGGACTTTAAATATACAATAAAACTGTGGTTATTTTGATGCCATATTCAATGAAAGATATAATGATGGAATGTAATGTAATGAAAGATATAATGATGGAATGGCCGCCGTGACATAACGTTGCATGTTCACCTGTAAGTATTGATATAATCTCATACAGTTTATTATACTTTATAATCGCATTTTCAGTAAGCTTAGATATACGGGACGCTGCGACAGATATTATACTATGAGAATTTATTTCAGGAATTCCGCTGCGCATCTTATTGTTCAGTTTTGTTGAGTTATGGATGTAAAAAGTATAAAAACGTACCGCTAATAAGAATGACATGTACACCTTCTGTACTTGTAAGCTGTAATCCAAATGTTTACTAGATTCCTTTACTAGATTCCTTTACTACCACGACTGGACAACGGAATTGCTGTAAAAATATCATTATAGTCAGATAATTATAATTTCAGTTATATTCTCTCCTAACATTGAAAGGGAAACGGTCAATAAGGATATACATTTTTTCACTATGAACAACGGAACAGGCAAATAGCTAATTATGCATTATTCAGTATGTTGCTATGCATCTCTTGAGTGCGAAATATGTACACTGGATGTGTTAGATATAATTAGGCAAATCGCACCACCATGCACGCAACTCTACGAATTAACTGTTAATAGAAAGACCACACTTATCCATTCAGCGCACGTACAAAGTTTCACTTCATCCCTATTCAAGTTCACACACAGCGCACTTAATACATATATGCATGATGTGGCAACTTAAGGTGCGATATATCCATAGATATCTTATATACACTAGATAGCGCATCTCTTTTAGCAAAATTGAAGCCAAGTAGATTCCAGCGGTTACCCCCCATTTGAATAGATAGCGGCCATGTTGGTCGTTCCCACTTGCTAATAGTAAACGCTTAAAAACAACAATAACTTTCACCATTTGAATAGTTTAAAAACGTATTTGGAATAGGGTTAACTTAATGTTTAAGTTCCCTGTTTAAGAAATAGAAAACATACGAACCTTCTCATTTCATGGGAACGACCTGAGACTGCAATCACGGCTTCAATTTTTGAATTACAGAGTAATTAGATGCACTATCTAGTGTATATAAGATATCTATCGATATATCTATATTTGGTGACCATGCATGTGTCTACATTGTACCATGTTAATTGCTATCATATAGTTTCTGAACGATGTCTTCACTCTGTGTACAATTTGTCTACCTTGGGGGGTAGAGAATTTATGAGTTTGTATTCAAATCAAATTATAACCGACTTTAAGCCGAGATTGGGGTTAGTGGTTAGGAGCTAAACGCAATATAAGTTAAAGTTATTTATGGGTTAAGTAAATGTGGTTGAGAGTGCATGAGTGTTGGAAGTAACGCGATCTTGGTTAGCTATTCTCAATGCTTTCCCGACACTATCATGTGTTCCACATGGAACATTTGTGAAACATTTATTTTGCTAATCTAGAACCTATATCAACTCTCGTCGACTCTAATTCTCGTTTGATCAGTTTAGGTTTTAGGGGATTGGTTGCGAAAAATGATGGATTAATTTAAGGGATGAGCTAGGTTGGATGACATTAAAACGATTTACGCCTAATTTTATTGGTAATGTGAATGATATTATTGCGCCCAGTATAGGCTATAAACTCAACGTCAAACTCAAAATTCACATCAACTCGAGACGAACTGTATATAATTCGGGATTAACTCGAACTCATGTTTTACAATATCCCGCCTGCTTTGTATGTGGAATGTAATTGTGTCTTCTTTTAGTACCTATACTTTGTGTATATTGTGTATTATATAAATGTAATAGTTTGTAAATTGTGTATTATATAAATCTAATAGTTTGTAAACGATCAAGTATCTACTTTGGATATGTATGATGTTTTTAATTTTTGTTTAATTTGTGTACGGTACATGTCTTATCAAACATAAGGTGGGCACACTTTGCATATATTAGACACTTGCACCGTATACAGCTATTTCAAATTAAAAGCTATTTAAATCCCCGAGCAAAGCGGAGAAGTCGAATACGAGCGCCAAAGGCTGATGGGAAGCGCTAAACCAGCAGCCTTTCGCTCTCGTAGTCGATTTTTCCGCTTTGCTCGGGGACAACCTTAATTGAAACAGCGGTATAGTTATTATATACAAGATAGGTGAAGTGGACACAAAGTCTACAAACCAAAGTAGACATATCATACAATATAAAAAATTACCTGTAGTTCCGGTTTCCGACCGACCCTATTTTTTTCTGCCGACCCTATTATTTTTTCAACGCGATTGACCATGCCAGTGTGCGACCCTATTTTAGTGGTTGCGGGCTGCTCATACAGCGTGCCAAAATGGCGTCTGTTGTCACACTAATTATTTAACCAAATTGCCTATATTCGTCCATAGAAAATACGCATCTCTAGTTACTATTGATGTCGGGATTCTACTGCAAATCGCCCAGCAAAAAACCGCAAAACCATGAAAAAATTATCCAAAAAGAATTATTTCCGACCTACCGACCCTAAGGGAGCGGTCATTATCTATGGTGGGGGATGGCACAGAAGAGAAATGTTTTTCGTGGCAAAAATTTTGCTGACCCAACCATTAAAAAGTAAAAAATTGATTACCAAACCTCAAATATCAATTAAAAAATAAATATCCACCCCTGGCCAAAAACGTTACAAACGGACACCATTCAGTTGTCACACATGTCCTTTACCACTTCTATGACATGAGTTTGATAACTGTTTGTGTAATTTTCTGCAGTCTAAAGTTTCATGTTGTCTGCACATGTACTTTCCTGCCTCCTGACAAATCGAAAAATGATCGAGATAGTGACTCTGGTTGACTTACAAATTATATTGACATATATATGACTGTTGACATTGCCATTTAGGCCGGTTTCAAACGTCGCATTTCGCATGTGTCGAATTCAATTGCTTGAATTATGTGCATGCAAAATTCGACGTCTGAAACGATTAAATGCGACGTTTTTAATTGCGG